TTTAAAAATTATTATGAAGCTCTTACGAAAAATAATAACTTTTAAAATTAACCTAAATCTGTTTGTCAAATTTACTTATATAAGCTCTTTTTTATAGATAAACTGTTTGACAAAATAATTTATGTAAATTCTAATTTTGGTTAAAATTATTATAAAAGGGTATTTAATAAATAACTTTCTATTAATCACAAATTTCATTATTCACAATGGTAAAAAGTTAAATTTATCCTTTTATTTATTTAAAATAAATTTTTAAAAATATAAAAATACTTTTATATAACATAAAATTTATAATTAATAATAGATCGTATAAAAATGAAAACGGATAATGTTAGAATTATTTTTAATAGATGAGGATGTTTTTAAAACAAAAAGAAAAATTCTTTTGAAAAGTAAGCTTGTTTTTAAAAAAAAAAAGAAGAGAAAGCTCTTCAACTTTTCCTGAAGTTTTTTTTTTTTTAAAAAAAAACTGTTTTTTTTTTTAAAGAGCTTATTAAAATCACTGATTGGCCTAGTTTCTGCTTTTAAGAAGTGGATAAATTACAAAAAAAAACCAAGCCAAATAGGCACTCAAACTATAATCCATAGATAGAATTAACATACTTGGCAATCTCTTCAAAAGAAGCAGGCCCCAAATAGTTCTTATTAAGCTTCTTGTCTGGAGATGCTATGTACCTGAAAGTTTGGTGTCGATGTAGGTCTGGTTATCTTAAATAATAATGTAAGAAGGAAATACCATTGATAAAGCAATACTTACACCATTACCCCAGAAATGGCTGGAGTTGTAGCTGTGGGATCCTGAAACAAATTTGAGTAGGAATACATGAATGAAAAAGCTACATTACAATAGTGTTTCTTTAACTTAACACGTATATCAACATTCAAAACTCACAGTGAAGAAATCAAGATAAGCTTTCTTGTCATACTGCTTCTCCCTCACTTCTAAATGCTGCAGATCATTAAAAAATAAAAGGAAGAATGAAATAAGGATCACAAACTGATGAAAGATATTAGGCTAGTAAGTAAAGTCACAGGCAAGCTAACTCAAACAAAAGGCAGAATTAAATGAAAAGAAAAGAGACAGTTGAGTGCATCATAGCATTTAAGAAGCTTATAATAACAACAATCAGCACACAGAGAGTAAGAAATTGTAGGAAATAAGAAAGACAACATAGCATTTTCGAATGAAAGCAGATTGAGATGGTGAAACCCAAAGGAGATTTATTTATTTTTTACTGCAAAGATGCTAATAGGAGAAGGGGAGAAATGATTGTAGCTAAATAAACTAAGTAATGCTGATTAACTATATATGTTTTATCAGTTAAAGTTTAGCAGCATAGCATTTATCTATTGAGAGTCCTATTTTCACAGTTTAGGGTGCTCACACTCTGCCGACATTACTAGCAAATTGCTTCTTCTTTCCTATACTCTGCCTACAAAGATATCTCAGTTCACAGGGTCATCTCCTGCCTTGCCCATGGATTCACCAGCAAATTGATAGGTTGACCTATTTGGGAATCTCTAGATCTAGTCATTTTCAACTTCCCAATGAAGTAAAAAAAACGTCAATAAAATAAAATTAAACTACTACAGGAATGACACTAAACGTGAAGGTACAAACAAAATGTGAAGCTTTGGATCATTGATATATCTAGGATCTGGGCTATTCAGAAATGGGAATGAATATGGCCATAATTATCTTCAATACCAACCTGTTTATTAATATTCAATCATCCGACACTGAACTCCTATTCTATTTAACAACCTATTCAAACAATGCAATATCATGGTTATTTTGTGGTCAGTGGCGACAAAAGGTTGAGATCATTTCCCTTCTGAATCAACCGAGTGAACTAGTGACCCAAAGTCCCCCAACCAATCTGACAATACAGATGGAACCAATGGCTATCCTTAAAAATGATTTTAGGCACAGAAATAAGATATATTTGGCAATCATAAGAAAATGAAAACGTTAACTTTTTCCATGTTATGGGAAGGGGCAACTCCAGATGCTACATGAACATTTAACAACATTTTGATTATTGAACGATTGATGGGCCAGTAATGGATTAAAATTTGGAGAAAACAATATATCATATGAATACATTTGATGAAATTCACTATCAAGACCATACCATTATCGCATTTTCTTTATCTTCTTTCTTGGATATCTTGTACGCAGCTCCCCACTATAACCTCACAAGATTGAAGAACTATTTAGTTCACATATTGGCTCATTCCATAACTTGGCATGAATAAGGAAACAAAATAAATATTGACGTTTCTTATCCATCCAAAAGAACTTACACAGAAAACATCATTTAAATAGTTCTCATTGAAATCCACAAATATATACTATGTTTACCTTTTCAATAAGTAAAAATCTCAACAGTTTTTCAGTTCATTAACAGAGTGTCTTTGCCAAATGAAATTCTGAGCAGAGATAAGCATCCCACATTGGCATAGCATACAGTATCCTCATTGAATTGCTCCAAATTAACCTCACTAGACTATGGCCCGTGCGTTGCACACGGGCCTCTTTCTATCTCTCTTTTTCTTTCTTCAATATGTTTTTTCTTTTTTTCTATGGCTTGAGGAAGCCCCTTTGAGGATAAAGCTTTGAATTAAAAATTACTCTGATGCTGCATACAATCTTCTGTTCCAGTAAGAAAAAATCATATAATAAATTAAATACCAATGACTTATTGTTCTTATAAATGAGTGATCAGTAATACATATTATAGTCCTCAAGCAACTGTGGGAAAAAAAATCAAAAGATAAATGATAGGGATTGGCAAAAATTACTTACGCAGACTTCCCCATCAGCAGGCTCCAGTGTGACAGTCCTGCCTGGATACTCAGGCGTCCCTCTGTGGTCAGTGCTCCCTGTTTTAACCAAAACCCACCAATCATTCCTTATAAAAGAGTTTTGTAAAAGGTACATGCCAAAATAAACGAGGGGGTAAGGAAGGACCTTGGTAGAAGACTCGGCGATAATCTTTGATGAAGCCAACAAGACGATCATCATAGTTAAACCCGGCTTTCCAAATAAGAGAGCCGTACCCAAATACCCA